GAAAGCCATACACCCTTTTTAACCCAAATATTCCACACGTTGCCTAAAGCACTGGATGAGCGGACAGCTGCTTCCATACTTTGTAAGAATAATTATCATTCTATACATTACTGTACTCTGAAGTTCAGCAATTCGCCTAAATCATGTAGCACAGGCAATGAATGAAATAGGGTACGACTTCCGTGAAGAACTGACGGCCTTGTTGGAATTTTTGCGCAGTAAACCTAAAACTCTTGGCAAGCTGACTTAAATCACAACAAGCAGTTCTCCTATAACACTAGCGAAGGAACATAAAGACTTAACGATTTAACGACTTAACATCGAATGCCGTCATTTGGCAGCCAAATCTTGCACCAACGGTCTGTCGCCTCGTCTGGCAGCGGCACCTCATTTAACCATCAGTTACACGATAGAAAAAAGACTAGAATAATCAATAACGTAACTACTCAGTTAATGCCTTAACGCAGCCTAGCTGAAGGTATCAGAGTCTGTTCTAGAATGTCAAGCAATTCGTGAGAGAACCCAAATCTAAAATTGCGACATGCTCTCCTTCCCAATCAAGACAAAAGCAGGTAGTCTGTTCTGTAATTAATAGCAAATAAAATCTATTTTGTTGATATAAATGTAAGTTTAATTTCAATTTACACTTTTTATGAATTTCGAAGTTCTTAAAGCAGTGCTTCACAAGCTTCAAATTACAGTACAGCGCAAGTAACAGTGAAAACTGATCCTAAATATATGCAACAATAAATGACGTGGCAAATGAATGCAATTTCGAACAAGAAAAGATCTGGGAATAGGAACTACAGCCTTGCTTGCTACGGCCATAGTAGAAGATTACGAACTTCCTATGCTTTTCTCTGATAAAACACGCAAGAATGACGGATCGTGAAAACTCTTGTTGACACGCAAGGCAGTCCAATAGCCATTAAGACAATGGAACATGCGACGATGGTCTTTCGTTGACAAAATACCACTGAACTTTTGACTGTTTAAATTTCCCTCAAAGCAACTAAAATGAAAGTGATACCATATTTCCCCAAAACCCAAACGAGTGAATTTTTTGTTCTATGAAAGTAAAGCAGGAAGATTGGATCATACAATGGCGAAGAGTGAAAAATTACTTTACCAAAACATTGATAAGAGATACTTTGACGCAAAGCATGTGCTAAAACACAACAAAACCGTAGTTTGACCAGAAAATACAC